AGAACGCGCCGACGGCCCTAAGCCCATTCAAAACAGAAGCTTTGTGGTCTCCAATGTCGGCACTCGCAATGGAAGGGCAAGCAGAAAGGAACGTGATGGCCTGAGAAGATGGATCTTGTCGCCAGGTGCGAGATTTGAGCATCGCTGGCGTTCGGACGGGCAGCATCGCCATGACGTGAAATTTCCCCATGGCACTGACGACGTCAAGGAGCCATCAATCAATCAATCATAAAAAGCCGAGCGGAAACGGAGGTCGGTCAAGGCGGAGAGGGGCGCCGAAGTGTGCCCCGCGGTCAAGTGGGCGGCGGCGAACGAGCCAAGCGACTGTCATAACATGGGATGGCGCGCAAACCGCCGTTGTGACGGCTTCAGTCACCTGACGACCATTGAGGCGGTCCACGACGATCTTCAGAACCGGGCAGTCAATGTCTTGCCCGGCGCGAGGGTTGGTGCTTGTATTGTGTGGTTCTCGCGCTGCCGCCAGGCTCGTCTCGGGCTTGGCTTGGCCTTGGACGGGCCAACAGGCCGTGTCGTCGACTTGAACGTAGTACTGCGTTCCAGTGTTCTGGTGTTCGCTGTGGCCGGCGAGTGAAGCGAGAGCTTGTACTCGGTGATGGGCGCTAGTGCGAGGCTGGTGGCTGGCAGGTTGAGTTTTGAGGTAGGCGAGAGGCTAATGCCAAATCCAACGATCCGTTGCGAGGTGGAGGCTCAAACAAGCAGGACGGCGGCATCAGAGCGGGCGCCTGGCGGGACCCAAAAAGGTAATGGGTCGTTCGTTGTGCGTGGTTGACGTGCTTGGGATGCTGTGACATTGGTGTTTACCGCGCGGGCATCAACGAACCAAACGTCTTTGCCACCATCGAATGCCCTCTTCCAGACGGGAGGCAGAGGGTGCAAACGGCCGGTTGCAGATCCAGGCTGGGGGAAGTCGAACGGGGAAGATGCTGGGTGGCGTTCAGCAGGCGAAGGCGTGGCACGCGTGGTACCGCGTACGGGGATCAGTACCAGGCAGCGCAAGTTGCAACGGTGCACGACAGCAGGTATGTGACGTCTGTCTGTCCTGGTTCGTCTGGCCTGGGTCACGATGACTGTTGCTCGAAGACGGAGATGGCAGCTGTCGGAGGGTTACGTAGTTGGTCGTTTGTTTGGTTGTGGCACAGCATGACAGGCGGGTGTTGCTTCGATCTATCATCTGGTGGATTGTCGCTTGTGCGCGTGTCTGTGTGTGTCCGGATACAAAGTAGGCAGTAGTAAGGTATACTGCGGTATCGTGGACGGTACTTGGAGATTGGTACATGACACGGTTCTGGGGAGAGGCGACGCGTCTTTGGGGTTCAGTTCAGCCCTCCAATTGGGGGCGTGTGCAGTGCGAGGTGAGGTGTGGGTGGGTGAGTGAGAAGGAGGGGCGGAGAGGACAGACATGGATCGCACTCGCCAGGAACAAGAGACATCTGAGTGGACAGAGCCGAGACAGACGACAGACAGAGAAGGTGCGCTTGCGCCGATATGTGGCCGGTGCAGCTCCCAACTCGAATTGGCAACTGCAATGCAGGCCGGAGGCAGGTGCAGATGCAGGCGCAGGTGCAGTGGGTGATGCAAAAAGACTTTTGCAGTTGAAGGGAAGGCGCGACTTCGACTTCTCTGGACGACGCGGCGAGAGAGAGTTTGGCACTGGAAAGACTGGACGAACGAGCAAGGGTCAAGGATCAAACGTTTTCTCTGGACCCCACCACCTTCTGCTGCTGCCTTTTCCATCTTTGCTGCACTGTATTTGCACGGATATCGCGTCGGATGGTTTCCATTGCTTCTACTCTGTAAGCCAACCTGGTGAAGTGCATCTACTGTGGGCTTCTAGATGGTCGCTCTTCCCGCGATGGACCGTCTTCCGTTAGCCTCAGGCAGTAGTAACCCTAGCTAGGCCGATCAACGGCTGCACATGACGAATTTTGGTGGTCCTCGACGACGGAAGCCTGGTTTCAAGGTTGCTGATGTGAGGAAGCGAGACGGAAGGAAGGATCCAGTGTGGACAGTGACAGTTGCAGCCACAGCCTTTGCCTTCCAGGCGAAGGCACCTACCTCACTGGCACCTCAGCACCAGTCGGCTGGAAGGTGCGGGATGAGGTCCAGTGGGATGGCATGGAGCAGGAAAGAACGGACGGATTGGCTGGATAAGGTGCACTTGCATTTTCCACCTCACCCTGCACGTGCAGGTCTTAAGTCGGGACGAGATAACGGTCGGGATTTGGTTTTGGTTTTTTGGGGGCATTGACTTTTTTTCAAAGTTGGGACGACAGGAATGACGGGACGGAAGAATTCAGTGAGACTGTGAGTGGAGGATGCTGACACTTATTCAGCACGGAATATTCATACGGTACTTGCAAGGGACATGCAGAAACATGCCCCTGCTCAAACGGCTTCGACCAGACGGCCGTGGCTTCGCCCCCGTTTGACGCCTTTGTGCATGACAAAGACCCCGGCGCCGTTGATTCGCGAGGTATCCGCTTGGTATCGTCGTGGTTCTACCTCCGTAAGGTAAACGTCAGCCTCTCCCCTCCTCTTCCTCTTCCTGCTCCCCCTCCTCAACTCTGAACGTGACCTCTGCCCTCCCTCATCCCTGTGCCTGTCCCTGTTCCTCTTCTTGTGCCTGACAGAAACCCACAGGCCCGTTCGTGTTCCACACAGCCCACCAACCGCAGGCAGCGCCCCGGCTCAAGTCAACATGTTCGACTCGTCCAGGATGATGGGCCATCCGTCAATCGTCCCACCGTGGGCTGTGATATGCGCGCACGCAGCACGAAAGCGAGCCATCCAACACCGTGTCAGACCTCCGATGATGCTGGTCGAGTCGAGAGTCGAGAGTCGACGGACCGCGAGAGGAGATCCGCGTCGCTTCCATGACCGAGTCCTCCTAGAGCGGCCCCCAAAAAGAATGGGGATTCCAGAGCCTAGGATGCGAGTCTTTTTGCGGATGCCGAAACTATCGCTCCAGTCAGCGGCAGCCTCCCTGGCTACGCAGTACGGCTGTTTGTACAGATTCGCACCTCACATTGACGAGACGGTGAAGGCAACGAGGGCAGGGCAAAGTCGAGGCGAAACACGTTGGCGATTGATGTTCTGAATACTCCGTACTTGGTGGCTTACGTGACGGACGAGACGTCTTATGCTCATCCTCGTACGTATACGCATATCCGGCCACGGCAGCATAACGACGACCCAGAGTTATGTCTCGTGGACAGGTACCGCATCACGTACCTACGTGCGAGAATCTCTCCTTTTCCATCCTCCCGCCGCCGCCGCTGCCAGGACAGGCCCCTCACTTGACTTTCCTCTGCCGCCGAATGTTTCTGCTCCCCCACCTTTTCAGGAACAACCACTGGGCCTCCAGATGCAGTCCGGCACTAGCATCAGCATCAAATGCATCTGCAGCAGGGCCTTGGTTGGATGGGATATCTCCTATCAGCATCTATATCCGAACCGCAGAGGCCGACGGCCAACAACTAAAGCGGTGTGGGTGTGCGAATGTGAGCCACGGGCAGAAAAAAAAAAGGGAGAACTCAGGAGACTCAGTCACTCAGAGACAGAGAAAAGCTAAAGGAGAGGCTCCCGCTCCAACAGCCAGAAGAGACGCCGGAATGGAAGCTAACAGTGACCGGGGATGCCACTACCACTTGAGGGCAATTGGAAGGTTGCTAACTCTGAGGGTACGTACCTCGTCGTTCATCGGCCACAGGTGCGGACGGTAGAAGTGGCTTTTTGCGACCAATGAGAAACGGCGCGTACCTGGCCTGGCCCCCGTCAAGCTCTGGCCAGTCCGCGTCGCGCTTCTCCTTCCACAACCCACACCTTCGAACCCACGATGGACCTCAAAGTACCCGGCCCCGGCATCATGGGGAAAAAGGGGGTGACAGAAGACGATGCGGTACTTACGTGTACCTTCACCTTTTTCTCTCCACGACGCACACACCACTCTCACTGGATGCTGAGCCGCCGCTGCACACACAGCACGTCGTTCATCCCTCCATCCCTCGCCCATCCTCGATCCTTGCTCGCCTTCACAACTCAGGCACACAGGGCATCGCATCTCCCCCGGTCCAGTCCACCTCGTCCAAGGTTCCTTACCTTACACACCCACACCACGACCCACGACCCACGCCCACCTCACGCCCACGCCTCACTCCACGTCCTCTTTCGCCCGCTCGTTGGACTGGTGTGGCTCCTGGTTCCTAGCTCTGGTCCCGGGACTGGACTGGCCCTCTCTCTCACTCTCTCTCTCTCGAAGCTGTGGAAGGAAAAAAAGACAACGCTCACAGACAAGGAGGAGACAGGGTGGGCTGGCACCGTTCGTTCGTCTCTCGTTCGTCTGTTCCCTTTTTTTTCTGGAGCCCGCCGCCTCGCCCGTCTGTCCCTTTTCCTTTTTCTCCTCTCTTGCCCCCATCCCTCCTTCTTCTCATCATCTCCTCATCGTCATCCTCGTCGTTCACGACAATCCCTTCCTCTCTTCCTTTCCCCCACTCCTTTTCCTTTTCACAGTCACTCTCTTGAATAATTCAACCATAAACTACTTCTCTGAATCCCGTCACTCCTTTCCGGGTATTCCATTACGTTCCTTCATATCAGTCTGGTTGAATTTCCACTTTCGTTCAATCCGAACCGACACTATTCACAACTCGAACCTCAGAATCCCCTGCCGGATCCTGTACCACGCTCCTTAGCATACCTTGCCTTGCCTCACAGCTCCTTCATTACCTTCCCTAGCTTTTACAGCACCGACCTTCTTCATAACTATTCACCGCCTCGCGGCCCATCTTTCGAGAATCTACAAGACTCTCGATACCCCCATCAACCATCCGGACGCGACTTACACCGAGACCTTCCCTCGATCATCCGTCCCTTGATCCTAATCGCACCACCACCACCACCACCACCACCACAACCAACACCACCGAGATATCACTCTCATCCAATCCTCTACCGATCGAACTCCCGAGTAAATCATCGCCATGGATACCGAGGTGGAAAGCCCCATGGGTCTGGCCGTGACTCCCGGCTCTGCGACTCACCAAGAGTCTATTCAGACTCCCTCCTCCGCCAACAAGAACAACTCCACCCCCTCGCCGACTTCCGCCAATGGCCAGGCGCCCTCTTCGCAGTCAAGGCGTCCGCCTCGCAAGAGCACCTTGACCCAGCAGCAGAAGAACCAGAAGAGGCAACGTGCCACTCAAGACCAGCTCACAACCCTCGAGGTGGAATTCAACAAGAACCCGACCCCTACGGCCACCGTCCGTGAGCGGATAGCGGAAGAAATCAACATGACCGAAAGGTCTGTCCAGATCTGGTTCCAGAACAGGTATGACATCGTAACCCCTGAGTGGCGCGCCCTTGAATAGCACCGCTGACTTGCCCAATAGACGCGCCAAGATTAAGCTTTTGGCGAAGAAGAGTCTCGAGACCGGTGAAGACATTGATTCCATCCCCGAATCCATGCGCGCCTACCTCGCCATGCAGGCGATGGAATCTGGCAAGGGTCTGGGCGGTCCATTCCTCGGCCGCACCGGACTCCTTCCCTACGGCCACAACAGCATGCTCCTCGGCGGCGACCAGAGCGGCCAGGGCAAAGTTTGTAAGTATCCCAGGAGCATCACAACGACATGAGACTTACTAACGGAAGCCTCAGTGATTCACCACCTTACTTGCCGTTCCCTCAGCATCGGCAAGTGGACTCGCGTCGGACAGAACACGATGGACCTCATCATCTTCTACTCCCCTGACAAGTGCACCATGACCTACTACATCAACAACGAGCAGGCTGGCTACAAGATCGAGTACCCCTTCGCCTACATCAAGAACATCTTCCTCGAGAACCAGGAGGGCGACCCCAACAAGCCCGGCGGCATCGTCATCGAGCTGAACCGCCCGCCCAACTTCTTCATGGACTCTTCTCCCCAGGCCAGCGGCTTCTTCCAGTGCGGCGACTTCACCGAGGACCAGCAGGCTTCTCAGTGCCTGGTTCACCACCTTGGCGGCAACCCCAAGGTCCTGAGCGGTCAGCTGGCCAAGCTCGTTTCCCTCGAGGCCTTCATGAACCGCAACAACCCTCACCCCTTCATCGACCAGCAGCACGCTCTCTCCGTCTCCGCCCCTGTTTCGCCCACGGGAAGACCTTCCTCGCAGCCCAACTTTGCTCAGCCTCACATTGGCATGTTCCAGGAGTCCTGGGGCATCAACAACATGCACCCCGGCATGCGCGGCCCTGGCCACAAGAGACAGCGCAGTCGCTCCGTCCCCATGGCTGTCGACTTCTCGATGCTCCAGTCGCCGATGCCCTCGTTCTACATTCAGCACCCTGGCGAGATGGCCGCTCCTCAGACTCCGGGTCCTTACCTGCACGCTCCTGTGCCTCAGCAGCCTGGCGGTCTGGGTCCCAACCTGAGAATCGACACCCAGGCTGGCTTCGGTCTGGACATGCGCCAGTACCCCATGTCGGCGACGACCGCTTCCCCGTCTGAGTTCCCTACGAGCCCGGCCTTCTTCTCCCAGCCTCCTGAGCCCAGCCCTCTGCCGACGTCCAACTACAACACTCCTTACGGAAGCGCCTTCCTCTCTCCCATGACGAACCCCTCCAACAACATGATTCCCCCTTCCGTCTCCCCGTTGTCCTTCGGTAGCCATCACGAGCCGTCGATCGTTGAGCAGTCGCCGCCCCTGTCCATGCTCGGCAGACCTGCTTCCGCCGACATCTACCCCCAAGGTGACAACGGTTCCTGCGCGGTTTCCGACGACGGCACTGGCCTGAACGAGATGTACTCGAAGCACACCATCAACCTGCCCATGCACCCGCACTCCCCTGCTTTCGTCGAGCCTGGCCAAACCGACCTCGACATGAACCAGCTGGTCCAGTTCGACCATGTGGACCCCAACTCTTTGTCACCTGACTCCATGTCCCAGGTGCCTCAGCACCACTGAGTGTTCTAGACCAAGACCTGCAGCGTCTTTTTGGTCAACGGGTGTTCAGGATATTTGCGGGATACGGCGTACATACAACAGGGAGAGGCTTCGACATGCTTGGAAAAAGCACTTGGGAGGAACGAGGGAGTTGCTTGTCTTGATTATTCACAGCTGGCGTTGAGGAGCTCGATATATACCAAATGGGTTGCGCTTGGTCTACTTTCGACACACCGATGACTACGATGTTTGAGTCAGCTCTCGCTCTACTTTCATCCATCGGCCACGACGAATCTGCATGACGATACCTCTATTCGGAATCTCGATCATGCATGTCTGGCACAAGCGATCGTACACTTGCACTTTCTTGGAAATTTATTTCTACCATTTCGAGTCATTTATTGTCGCGAACAAACTGATTTTGTTGCGAAAGTGGTCATCCTGTCGATTTCCTACCTTCGTCATCATCACACCTTCCGCCATGCCGGTCCGCGCCGAGACCCGACGGCATGGCGACCTAATAATCCTTTCCCCTTCATTCTTCGGTTGGCTTGCGCTGCACATTGTTACTTCTTTTTACCGATCTCTTCTGTCATCGTTCATGAATCACAGATGTCTTGGCCGCAGGTCTGGAGATGAAAATGGGGAAAAGCCCAGGTGGCTTGGGATTTTCCTGGTTCTTAATCAGTCACAAACACACAACAACAAACTTTTTTGCGCGAAGAGATATTCAACTCCGACACACAACTTTTCTGGTCTACCTCTACTCGGGTATTTTTTATTGGTTTGAAGGATATGTGTGGGGACATGGGAAACTTGGTGGATTTTTGTGCTGTATGCCGGCTGCGTATTGGGCGCGGTTTAATGGGAAACAAACCGCCGTATAGCGGCCCGGCAGCGAGAGGCTTGGGCCGGCCGTGTCTCGAAAGAGACGGTCGGCCTTGTAAGTAAATGACGATAGAGTCGAGAGAGAGGAAGAGACAGAGAGAGACAGAAGACGGGCATCAAATCCCTGTTTCCCACTTTTACATCAAGTTCCCATCTGGTCTAGACCATCGCTGTGACGCTGTGATCTGCACAACTAGTGATTTCTCTTCTCCATCAAATGCGGCTGTGACAGCTGGAGACGATGTAACGCCCGCGAAGAAGATGGATGTTCTAGAAGTGATGGGGCCCGGCGGGTGCCGAGAGATCGTTCTCTGGGGTGCGGACCGTCAGCCGGGGGCGGCTCTCTGCTCTCTCTCGTCTGGCGAAACGGCCTGATGAGGCGAGATTGCAGAGTCGGATCGGAGCCGGTGGGAGTACAATACGGAAGAGTACGTATTGGAGGCGGAGAATGGTCCGGGCGGCCGAGACGAGAACAGACCAGAGACCAGACTTTGGTGTTGAACGGTACCGCAGGTGGACGGGACGGATATGACGGTCGTTTTCTGACCGTGGTCTCTTTTTTTTTTTTTCACGTTTCACACGTGGGACCCGTTCCGTTGTATGTGATTTTGTGGACGGAGGCTCCCAATCGGGAATCTGTATCGTGAGATGTGAAATATGTGGTCGGGGGGTTTTGTGCTCGTAAGGCTGAGGGGAGTGAGGTGTCTACTTTGGGGCCGAGCGCGCGCGCGTGGGAAGCGAATATGGGTGATGGGTGGCTTAGGACACGACACGGGGCCGCAGCCAGGTCGTGTCACGAAGAGGATGATGCCTGGTGACGCTGGACAGTTTCTCTTCAGCCTTGCCCGGGAGGTGGCACGGATTACACTGTTGCAGGCTTATGTTGGATTCTGTGAAATGTCTCATCATCATCATCAATTTTTGGGATGGAAATGGATAGACGCCAGCGTCGCATCAGGCAAGCGCTAGTTAAAGGCATAGTCGTGCTTTGGATGTCTGCCTATTTGGCACGTAAAGTCCATCAAACCTCTGTGCGTAGCAGGCAGTCGTACATTGTGTGAATAGTTAAGCTCTGGAAGATTTCGAACCACCGGCCAGCCGGGGGTCGTTGACGAACGGTGCCGGGAAACGTCCAGTGGTGGCGGATGGAGGCGAGTGAAGGGCCCGCTAACACGAGGTCCGAGGCCGCTGGACTTTTGGTGCCGTGCTGGGGGTATTCTGTACGTTGATTACGAGTTGAGGCACGGATGTCGAATACTGCTTCCGTACGTATTCTCGGCTCCGAATCAAGTCTTCGAGACCGATATTCCACGCCGGGACTCGCGGAAGTTGCTCGTGCGGTCGCGTGCTTTAATCTGGGAACCTGCTCTGGAAATGAGATAAGGGTGCCGGGTTATTTTCTGTGCAATGCGATGGATCCTTCCAGAGTTCGTTCAATATGCAGGCGCGCGTTTCCTCGCGTTCTTTAGAGTTTCTGCCCATCTCGTTCGTTCTGCGGGAAAGCTGGGAAGACCCTGCGAGCATTAAATAGCAGCCACGTTCGTCCGACGTCGCGTCTGCTGGGGCACGGACGTAGAATGTCGTTCGCGGCCCTGCGGGATGCAGGACGGATTGGAAAGGCAGTTAAAAGTTGCCTTTCGTATTATCACGTCCAACGGTTGTTGGGAACTTGTTCATGTAAGCGTACTGGGAGCTAAATGAACGTTTTAACTCGATGCTGGATTGAAACAAAACCAAGAAAGTGTGTTGGGAGTTGGGGAAAGGGCTCTGACTCTCTGCCAAGACGTCGCCCTTTCCTATCACGACGTTCTAGAGTGCTGGAGTGGACACAATGGCATTGATGAGTGCACTTGCCCGCAAAGACGACGTGGAAAATCGACGGATGCCGCGGGCGTCAAGTGCCGCGCCGTGGCCCCTGCTTTCTTGGGGGTTGGCACCTGCTCCCTTTTTCTTTTCTTCTCTCGTCCAATGACGTCCTCCATGCGGGGCACGCGAAGAATTGCTGTTGGCAGAGCTCGAAAAGGGCAAGACCTGCCCTGCCACCTGCGCCGTGGAAGGAGGCACTGATGTCAATTCGAAGTCTGGAGGTGCACATAATCAGACCAACCAACCAATCCAACATGCACGCGATCCTCCCTCCACCTCCCTGCTGGATCCTCCCCTCCGGCTAACGGCGAGGTCAATCATGTCCATCAGCAGTTCCGGGCGGTGTCAGCGTCGGGTGTCATGTCTCATTCCCGTCCTTCGGTGATGTGTACGGGATACTGCCACTGCGACCTCGTACGGCGGGCGACATCGATAGCGGTAGCGGCAGTGGCAGTGCAGGCGAGTGCGGGAGATGCGCCAAGCCGAGTCGGAGACAAGCTCGTTTCCTGACCTCATGATTGGGCGTGATGGCATCCTCCACGGCCACTTACTGGCTCCCGCCCTCCGTCCTGACTTTTTGCCAAGAGAAGCAATCGCTCTCCCTCTTGCGTGTTGTCCGCGGCGCAGCCATCTCGTGCTCGCAGCCTGCCCTCTCCGAGTCTCTCGCTCGTTGCTAGCATACCGAATGCGTGTCTTGTGTCTTCTTGGTTCTTGTCTTGGCCTTTTCATCTGTTGTTCAGATCGAAGGAAGTTTCCCTCCATTGAAGCCTCGGGATCGGGGAGTGGGCTCTTTTGCCGTTCCCGCCTCTGTTTCCCTTTCGACTGGACGACGTCCCTTCTCTTTCGGGAACTAAGCACCACTCAGTCTCTTAGTCTAGTGACTTCATCTTTTTTCCTCTTCTCTGTTGCCATCTTTTTTTTCCCGCTGCTTTCTCATCATTCCAGCATTGCTACTTGCGCGGACACAGCACCACTAATCAGCTTCACCACGAACGCCCGTCGTCAACTCGTCGATACCCTCGTTTCGCTATTGCTCGTGACGTCGAATGCGCTGATCACTCGCTCTCCCACCACGACGGTTTCAGCCCTGCAAACACAGCAATATTCTTTGCTATATCCGTATAGACAGCTGCTTGCGCCGAACCGCGATATTTTGAACAGTCCGCCGCGCAGAGAGGCCCGCGCCAAATTTAGGCTAGGAACGCGCCACAAAGACTGGTCGAGGCCAATGAGGGGACCTATGAGCGAGCCACTCGAGTGAATCCGGCCCGCCATCGAGGCATTCCGTCTGGAACAAGCGTCATTCTCCATTCTCCCCGTCCCTCTAGTCGCGAACCTAGCTAGCCTCTGCGAGCTAACGCAGAAACCTTCCATCTGCGGGCTTGAGCTCTGCACCGGGACGCCCTAAACAGGAACCGACCAGCAGGTCTCGCCCCTCAAGAATGGACGGCCGACACCCTGGCGACGCCTCGTCCTCCTCTTCTCGCCAACATGAGCATCTCGACGACGACCCCGCCCCGAGCCCTCCCCTGCCTTCCGCGACGACCACCTCCACTTTCGAGTCCGCTCATGACATCCCGTCCCCGTCACTGAGTCCCGCGCCGCCCCGCGCTGCCCAGAGAATACAACCGAGACGAGCCATCACCGACCCAATGGGCAGTAAGGGCACCTTCGAGGGCGGTCACGTTCGCTTCTCGGACGATATGCCGCGCGACTCGATGCGCGGCTTCGACCCGGCAGACTCGCAACCGAACTTGAACTCTCACGGCTTATACACGATTCCTTCAAGGGGAGACTTGGAAAGTCACATCCTATCTCAGCCGTCGTCGTCGCGTGCGCACCACAGTAGCGACCAGAGCTCCGCCCAACCGTCCGAATCCGATCTCAAGTACCCCGTGTATCGACCAGAACCGAGCAAGCGCGCGAAATGGGTTGTCGCGAAGGAAACCCTGGGCGACCAGGTCAAGAAGGCGTACAGTGTGTACATTGTGCAGGGATTATTGCGACAGAAGCCGCTGCCGCCCAGCGCGGATGGGAGGCATATTCCAATGGACAGAGCGAGGAATCGAGGCGAACCGCTCATTGACGAACGCACGAGGAAGCCGTACATCAGCAACTTCATCCGGTCTAGTCGCTACACGATATGGAGCTTCTTGCCGAAGCAGCTCTTCTTCCAATTCAGCAAAATGGGCAACTTTTACTTCCTTGTTGTCGGTACCGTCCAGGCCATACCGGGGCTCAGCACAACCGGATCGTGGACAACGATAGGCCCGCTTGCTGCCTTCGTTTCATTATCCATGGCGAAGGAAGGATATGACGACTACCGAAGATACCTCCTCGCAAGGACGGAGAACCTGAGTCGGGCGTGGGTTTTGGGAGAGAGATCCAAGAAAGCGACAGCTAGAATGAAGAGGCATCAAGCTGCAGATGCGGAGATGCATTCTGATGAACTTTCGGACGGTGAATGGGCGCAGACCGAGTGGCAGGACATCAAAGTTGGCGACATTATTAAGCTGGGTCGAGATGACGACGTCCCCGCCGATATCGTGCTGCTGAGCGCATCAGGGCCTAACGGCACGGCATACATCGAGACAATGGCTTTGGATGGAGAGACGAATCTGAAGGCCAAGAGAGCTTCTCCGCTGTTGGCAGAAAGATGTTCAACAGTGGAAGGAATCAAGTCTTGTGAGGCCATGATCGTCTCAGAGGATCCCAACGTCGACCTTTACAGATACGATGGCCGCGTTACAGTCAAGGAGGAGACTCTTCCTCTGTCACTCGACAACGTCGTCTACCGCGGGTCCACCGTTCGAAACACTACAGAAGCGATTGGAATCGTCGTGAATTCCGGTGAGGAGTGCAAGATCAGGATGAACGCCCAGAAGCACGTGCGAACCAAGGCGCCAGCCATGCAGCGTGTTCTCAACAGGATCGTTATCTGGCTCATTTTTGTGCTTCTGGGTCTTAGTAGCGGTCTGACTCTGGGCTATAGCTTGTGGAAAGACCCAACGGAGACTGAATCATGGTATTTGATGGGCGAGACCATCACTCTCGCCAAGGTCTTCATTGCTTATGTCCTCATGTTCAACACTTTGATCCCGTTGTCTCTCTACATCAGCTTGGAGATCATCAAGATCATCCAATTTTACATGATGGGAGATGTCGAGATGTACGATCCCGTTAGCAACACCCCGATGGTCGCCAACACCACCACGATTCTCGAAGATCTTGGGCAAGTCAACTACGTCTTCTCTGACAAGACCGGTACTTTGACAGAAAACGTCATGCGCTTCCGCAAGATGAGCGTCGCCGGCACTGCTTGGTTGCACGACATGGATATCGAACGAGATGAACAAGCTAAGCAGAAGCTCATCGACATGGCTCGAAAGAAGCGCAAGGGCAAGGGCAAAGACAAGAACCGCGACAAGAAGGCATCGGAAAATCTCGACAATGCAACCACACCCCTATCGCCCCAAGGGCGTCCTTCTGTCAGCTCGTTCGCGCGGAGGAGATCTACCAGCAAAGCTCCAGAATCCGACCCTGAGCTCAAGACCGAGGATCTTCTTGAGTACCTGCGACGCAAACCAGATACTGCCTTCTCAAAAAAGGCGAAGCAGTTCTTGTTGTGTATCGCTCTCTGCCATACTTGTCTTCCCGAGACCTTGGAAAATGGTCAGATCGAATACCAGGCCGCATCCCCCGACGAACTTGCACTCGTGGAAGCAGCGCGCGACTTGGGATACATCGTTATTGATCGCCCAGCACAATCCGTCATTCTCCAGTTGCCCGGGGCCAACGGTTCCATGACGAAGGAGAAATACCAGGTTCTGGACGTTATTGAGTTCAGCAGTCAACGCAAGAGGATGTCTATTGTCATTCGAATGCCGGATGGCCGAGTCTGCGTGTTCTGCAAAGGTGCCGATAACGTGATTTTGCCCCGTCTTAAGCTGAGCGGTCTGGCTCTACAAAAGGCAGATGCTGTTCAACGAAGAGCTTCCATTCGTCGCAGCGTCGAGAAAGAGATGGCGCACCAGCACCGTATGAGCATTGGCGGGACACCTCGGAACAGCGTCATGCTTGGACGAGCCTCAATGTCGGGGCGCAGCATGACGAGGCGCGAAAGCCTCAGGATTTCGGGCGACTTGCATAGGCGTTCAAGTGCGTTTGCTAACGATCCCGAATCATGGTCGCCGCGCCGAGAGTCTCAGGATATTCTGTCACCCATGAGCGTCCAAGAGATCTGGCCCTCCCCACGTGCTAGCATGGCCATGGATGAGAGCGACATTGATGAGTTCATTGACGAATCGATAGCCCTCAACGAAGGTGCGGTCTTTGAAAAATGCTTCCAGCATATGAACGACTTTGCTTCAGATGGTCTGCGCACTCTGCTGTACGGATATCGGTACATTCCAGAGGATGACTACGTTCAGTGGAAGAAGATCTACCAAGATGCGACAACCAGTCTGGATAATCGACAAGAGAAGATTGAGGCCGCCGGTGAGCTCATCGAAGATAAGTTCGATCTGGCCGGAGCTACTGCCATCGAAGACAGACTGCAAGAGGGCGTGCCTGAGACTATCGAGAAGCTGCGCCGCGCTGACATCAAGGTTTGGATGCTGACCGGAGACAAACGCGAGACTGCCATCAACATCGGACACTCTGCTGGTCTTTGCAAGCCTTTCTCAGAAGTCTTCATTTTGGACTCTTCCATGGGTAATCTGCAAGAGTCGATCTTGTCCACCTTGGGCGAGGTTTCCAGAGGCATGCTTCCTCATTCTGTTGTGGTGGTCGATGGTCAGACGTTGGGTGACATAGAGAACGACGAGGATCTCAGTTTCCTCTTCTTCGATTTGGCCGTTAGAGCTGATTCCGTCATCTGCTGCCGTGCCTCTCCCTCGCAAAAGGCCATGCTCGTCAAACGCATCCGTCGTCAAGTTCCACACTCGTTGACTCTGGCAATCGGAGACGGCGCGAACGATATTGGCATGATCCAGGCTTCCCACGTGGGTATCGGCATTTCCGGTCGCGAAGGTCTGCAAGCCGCTCGCATTTCGGACTACGCTATCGCACAATTCCGCTTCCTGCAGCGTCTTCTCTTCGTCCATGGCCGTTGGAATTACCTGAGAACTGGCAAATACATCCTGGCGACTTTCTGGAAGGAGATTGTGTTCTTCCTCCCGCAAGCCTACTTTCAACGCTACAACGGACACAGCGGGACGTCTCTATATGAGAACTGGAGTCTAACGGTGTTTAACACGTTCTTCACTTCACTCGCAGTGATTCTCCTTGGTGGGTTGGAGAAGGATCTACAGGCGAAGACCCTTATAGAGTATCCGGAGCTCTACACCTACGGTCACAAGAGCAGAGCGTTCAATGTCAGGCTCTACATCGGCTGGACATTCATGGGCCTGATCGAATCCGCAATCATTTACTGGGCAACATGGGCCGTCTACACCTCCTTGCCTTTCGACCTGGACACGACACTTTATGCCATGGGAACTGTTCCATTCACCGTTTGCGTGGTGTTTATCAACATTAAGCTGATGTAAGTTATGCCTTCTCTCCCTTTACTCACAGCTACTAACGGACACAGGGTTCTTGAAATGGAGAACAAGACGCTCATTATTCTGGCCGGTTTCTTGATCTCGGTTGGCGGCTGGTTCCTATGGAACATCATCCTCTCTGCCGCATATCCCCACGAACACAGGATATATCTGGTCCGGCATGCCTTCCTCGACAACTTTGGCCACACTCTCAATTTCTGGGCAGTTGTGTTTGTCACTCTGTCAGCAGTCGTTATTTTTGAGTTGCTCCTCAATGCTATCCGACGAGTATACATGCCACAAGATGTGGACTTTATGCAGCGGCTTGAGAGGGACGGCAGGAAGGGTAGAGGAGGTGTAGAAGCGGAGGATGAGGCTACTGTCCTAGAGGTGATTGGGCAGAAGCAAGACGGCGGCAATGGCGCGTCCTCTGAAGGCATGCCTAGAAAGAGCCACCACTCAGGTCGCCTGTCGCATCAACATGCGCGCATGTCTCGCAAATCACGAGACGAAAGCGCGGCAAGGGCTTTCACGCCCCCTATTGAGGAGAGCAGCAGCATCACAGAGGTGCCGAGCGGGTCGAGACAGACAAAGAAGCCAATGCTCTCTGTGGCGACGAAGTGGTTGGGGAACAGTAAGGGTGCTGCTCGCAGCGGGAGCCCCATTGAGCTGCGGTCTACGTCGCATAAACAGGCGTGAGGGCAGGAAGCTGCAACAAAGGGGATGGTAACAACGCGGTTTTACCTGCATTCGCATGGCTTGGGTTTGTACATACGATAAAGCCTTGAGAGGCGCCCGTGTCATTTGCCTACTACAGTCCTTTTCGTTCTTTGATACCACAGGCATGTTGTTGGCGGCGGAGTCAGCATCTGGCGTTGGGGTATTGTCTAATATATACACAATAAGAACCAGTCTTCACTATTTTCCAATACATGCACGGTATGCAATGTGATCTTCTGACAGCCAACAAGCAAACAGCAGTCTGTGTGAGACAACTCAGTGTAAATTACTCATTAGGACAAGGAAGAAGGAAGGTATGTGTGTATGTACATGATCCTGAGTCTCTCCGTCTCTCTCTGTGTCTCTCTATCCTGTGCGGATATCAATTCCAGCGGCTGCATTAGTGATGAGGTGTTCCTCATGCAATGTGGTGAGCGCTTGGTGATGGGAGGGTGAAGTGCTGGGGTGGTGGGGGTAAAGGTGGTTAGTTGTCCTTCTTCTCCTCAGGCTTCTCGTCCTCTTTCTTGTCGTCGTCCTTCTTCTCTTCCTTGGATTCGTCCTTCTTCTCTTCCTTGGAGTTGTCCTTCTTCTCATCCTTGGAATCGTCCTTCTTCTCTTCCTTGGAATCGTCCTTCTTCTCTTCCTTGGAATCGTCCTTCTTCTCTTCAGACTTGGACTCTTCCTCGGGCTTCTTGTTATCGGACTTTTCCTCCTTGTTCTCTTCCTTGGAGTCCTCCTTGGAGTCCTTCTTCTCGTCCTTAGGCTTCTCTTCAGACTTCTCAGAGTCGTCAGACTTCTCCTCTTTCTTCTCGTCCTTGGAGTCCTCCTTCTTCTCCTCCTGGGGCTTCTCATCAGACTTCTCCTCGCTCTTGGCCTCCTCCTTAGGCTCTTCCTCCTTGGGCTCCTCGTGCTTCTCCTCGTCCTTGCCGTGAGCGTCGTGGCCGTGCTCCTTGGGCTTCTCTCCCCATGGCAGGATCACCGCCAGGCCGGCCACCGTGACGAGCGCCGAGCCGAGGGCACTAGAAAACGAAACCAGGAAATCAGCAATTTGTCGTCGCGCGCGCGGGACGGTCAATCCCCCCGTAAACCGCAGATGGGACGCCAATTGGGCTCGACAAGTAAGAACACTTACAGAGGGAGCTCGCTCTGGGGCTTCGCGGCGCCGTGTTGGCTCGCGTAGGTCCTCTGCGCGAACCGGGGACTGAATTCGGGGCGGATCGTCCGGCGCGCCGAGACCCGGAGGGCGGAACGAAGGGAAGCGGCTCTGGCGAAGGACATTGTGGGCGGATTATGTTGATTAGAGAGATGCCAATTGAAGTTAGAACGGCTAACAAAAAAGTGAATTGGAGCGCGGAGGAGCTTGATGGCAACCCAATTGAGCTGTTTTTGCGGACGGGACGTGGCTCTTTCGTGAAATATCGGAATACTGGGGGGAGGAAGAAAAAAGGTGGCTTTCGGGAAAAGGTAGCCCAAAAAGAAACAACAAGAAGCTCGGCTAGGGAATAGTGTGTGGTGCTACAGCAGCAGCTCCTCTGCCGTCCGAAGTTTTAGAGCTCGGAGCTGCGAGCTGCGACTGGAACCCACGGCGACCAACAGCTGGGGGTGGTCCCCCTGGAGCTGCGGCGGCTGATTGGTTGGGAAGACGCTGCTGGAGGATTCCAGATGCCGGGGTGGCCGGTGTTCGAGTGCGTTCCCCACAGCTCGTGGTGACGACATTGCCGGGGTTGCACGGGCGGATTCCCGAAGAACAGCTCCCGAGCTGGAGCTGTGCAGGACCTCCGGATGAAGTCCAGTGTCTCTTATGTAATTCGGCTCCGGATTTATCTGTCGCCGACGACCGGTGGAAAACTGGCCGGGTCCCTGCAAACGCCGGGTCCCATTGCGGACAGGCAGGAGGAGGTGGGGTCCACTACCGCGGGGCAGGAACGTCCAGGTAAGGTCAGTGGTAGCGTTAGCACCTAGGTAGAGATATCCCCGACTGCCTTTCCTGCCTGGAGCTTCAACCCCACCAACAACTCTCTCCGCGAGGGTCTTTATGGACGTGCTGCAGCAAACCTACCAATTCCCCTTGCGATTTTTCTCATTACATCTTCTCAATCAGAACACACGCCGGACGGTCGACTTCTTCCTAACCGTCTCCCTCTGCATGGTCAGAGCCTCCGCTTCCCGCTAACACGCCACCGACCGACCCTTCCAACACTCCCGCCAGAAACGACACCTCGATCAACGCCGTCACGATGGCGGCCCATTTCGGTGTTCCCAATAACCCGACGCCGCATACGGTCATCCAGCTCGTTCAGAAGCTGAGCGATGCCGACCCGGACTACCGGTTCATGTCCCTCAACGACATGCTCCAGGTCCTCGCAAACGGAAAGCCCGACTTCCTGCACCACGACTACAACGTTGCCGCGCGCACTGTTGATAGCATCATCAAGACGCTCGACGATCAGAATGGAGAGGTGCAGAACCTGGCGATCAAGTGGTACGTGTCGCCCCTCTTCGCTCACGCAGAGGGAGAAATGGCGGGAAAACCCAAAGCTGACCGTTTGCTCGTGACAAAACAGCCTCGGCCCCCTCGTCAAGAAAGTACCGACGCCCATCATTGCCCCGATGATCGAGAAGCTCTCGGCGATCAAGCTTAAGAACTCGGTCGACAATGCCGTCCCGTCCCTCGCCCTGCGCGCCGTCATCATGGCCCTCCCGAAACCCACGCCCGGTCTTCCACCTAGCAAAGACGTCCAGGAGTCGTACAATGCGGTCAGCCGGGTTTTGATTCCAAGGCTGCTCGGCCCCGGCGGCAAGGTCCAGCCGCAACAGACGGCGAACAATATCCAGCTGCCCCCGGTCCCGCAAGGCCTTCTCAAGGTCGACAAGGACCTCAGCGCAGAGTCGGTCGATATCCTTATTGAGGTTGTGCGGTGCTATGGATTGATGCTCTCGCCGCTGGAGGTCGAGGCGATGCAGGATGCTGTCATCAGCTTGTTGGAGAACGACAAGACGTCTTCGGTTGTCAAGAAGAGGGCCGTCGTCGCGATCTCCATCCTCGCCGTTCACCTGTCCGACGACCTGCTGAACCAGATGGTCCAGCGCATGGCCAGCGACCTGGGCAAGCCCGGAATCTCCGCGGTCACTCGCCGTCTGTACATTTCCATCACGGGCTCATTGGCGAGGTCGATTCCTGCGCGCTTCGGTGCGTACCTGGAGACCCTGGCGCCTTTCATCATGCAGGCCCTGGGTGAGAGTGAGCTGGAGAAGCACATCGACGAGATCAGCGACGGAGACGACGTTGGTCAGGATTTCAACGAGGTGCGCGAGTCTGCTCTCGTGGCGCTCGAGGCATTCTTGGCGGCTTGCCCCACGCAGATGCGCCCCTTTACCGACGACACTATCAAGGCATGTCTCAGATACCTCAAATACGACCCCAACAACGCCATGGACGATGACGATGAGGATATGGAGGTCGACGAGGATGACGACGAAATGGACGCTGATGACGAATTCGACGACGATGCTGGCTTTGATGATGATGACGACGCGAGCTGGAAGGTTCGCCGTTGCGCCGCGAAGGCTCTTTACACTCTCATTTCGACGCGCGGAAGTGGTGACTTGCTTGAGAACGGTGTTCTGTACAGCCAGGCCGCCCCGACTCTTGTCAAGAGATTCGACGAGAGAGAGGAGAACGTCCGCCTGGAGGTCATTTCATGCTTATCTCTCCTCGTTCGCAAGACAGGCGAGGGCATCTACCCTGCCGATCTATCCCTCAACGACCAAGAGCCCGAGGTTCCTAGCGTGATCCCCGTCAGCCGGAAGCGTAGGCGTCAGAGCAGCGGCGGTGGTTCAATGGCAGCTCATTTCGCGACCGGTCTCACCTCTCCCACTCTGGAGAGAATTCCCTCCACCGGCCCTCGCGCCGACCTGGCCCGTTTCACACCTACCATCGTCAAGGCGTCTACTAAACTCCTGAAGGGTAAAGTGATTCCTACAAAGCAGGCCATTATCAACCTCCTCGACGACATCATCACGGTACAGCGAGGTGGTTTGTCCGACTACTTCAATGACGCCATAGGCCCCATCATCGAGTCCATTAAGCCTACCGGAGCCTCTGCGCTTGCCTCTTCTCTAGCTGCCTCTGGTGGCAATGCGTCTGCCACGCCGAGCACCCTGCGTGTTGCGGCCCTGAAGCTTACCAGTGACATCGCCAAGACTCACTCATCAAGTCTCCTGCAACCTTATCTGACCAAAATCGTGGCTGGCGTGGTTGCTGCAGCCAACGACCGCTTTTACAAGATTTCCAGCGAGGCTATTGGAACGATCGAGGAATTGGTAAAGGCCATCACTCCACCCCGGTCCAAGATGACGGCGCAGAAGTTCAAGGGCGAGCTGCAGAAGCTTTTCGACACGATGATGGATCGTATCACGGCGACCGACGCGGACGCCGAGGTCAAGCAACGGGCCATCCACGCCCTCGGCGTTCTCTTGTCCAGGACATCTGGCGCGGATGGCGCTGGCCTGATTGCTGCTGACAAGCGCCAAGCTGCGCTCGCTGCTCTCCTCGACCGTCTCAAGAACGAGACTACCCGACTTGCCGCCGTTAGAGCTGTCGACAATGTCGCTGCCTTCAGCACCAGCAGCGGTCAACTCGAGACGGCCTGGATCCGTGAGGTTGCTCTGGAACTGGCAGGTCAACTTCGCAAGGCCAACCGCTCTCTTCGCGGTTCTAGCATCCAAGCTCTGAAGCACCTGGTTGTTTCGCCCACTTCCAAGGGCCAGCTTGATGCGGACACCATCCAGGGCCTGGTTTCTGCGCTGGTGCCTGTGGTTAGCAATCACGACACCCATCTCCTGGCCCCGGCACTGCTCATCTTGGCGACTCTCGTCGAAGATAGTGCGGACCTGGTTGTCAACCAGTCTATGGTCGCCACCATCTGCGGCCTTCTCAAGTCTAGCTACGCCAACATTGTCCTGGATCAGATTCTCATCCTTGTTACCAAGGTTGGTGAGAGCGGTTCTGGCCAGTCTCTCATGCAAGGAATCCTCAAGGAGGTCAGCATTGAAGGTGATCCCGTCGTTGTGGGTAAGGTCATCGGCGCTCTTCTGGTGGCAAGTGGAAGCTCGGCCGGCGTCACGATCGAGAGTTTCATTTCCGAGCTCCAGAGCAGCACACAAAAGAGAGATGACGCCAGGATTAGCTTGGCCTTGGCGGTGCTCGGTGAGGCCGGTCTGCGGCTTGGACCCAACTCCCCCCTCAAGCCGGATCTGTTCCTGAAGCAGTTCCACGATGAGCCCGATAAGGTCTCGATCTCTGCGGCCGTAGCTCTGGGTCGCGCTGGCTCGGGCAATGTGTCCCAATATCTTCCAGTCATTCTGGACACTATGCAGAACGGTGGCAACACGCAGTACTTGCTGATTCAGTCGATCAAGGAGATCTTGCAGCAAGTCACTGTTCTGTCCGCTGAGGTCGCCCAGTTTGCCGCGCCCATCTGGCAACATCTCCTCTCGGCCTCCACCATCCCCGACAACCGTGTAGTCTGCGCAGAGTGCGTTGGACGACTCGTCATTATCGATACCCAGACCTTCATGCCGCAGTTGCAGGTGAGTCTCATTCGAGTGCCAACCGTGGAGAGATGAGCTAACCCAGTGCAGTCCCTTCTGAGAGATCAGAACCCCGACATCCGTGGCATGGCTGTGCAGGCCGTGCGGTACACCCTGCCTGACAGCGACGAGGCTTTCGATGCTATGCTCAAGAACGTCCTCGTTGACATGCTCCTCGTCATGCTCCAGGATACGGAGATGGATAACCGTCGTTTGGCCATGTCGACATTGAACTCCGCCGCTCACAACAAGCCTGACCTCATCCTGCCCCACTTGGGTGAGCTGATGCCGTTTGTTTTGACGGAGTCGGTCCTCAAGCCTCACTTGATCCGTGAAGTTATGATGGGTCCCTTCAAACACATGGTGGACGATGGCCTTGAAGTCCGCAAGGTGAGTAACGACTAATGTTTCTTAAAGACTCATGCTAATATTGGTGGCAGAGCGCATACGAGACTTTGTACGCTCTCATGGAGACGGCTTTCTCGCGAATCAACAACATCGACTTCTACGACCGCGTCGTCGCTGGTCTTAAGGACGACAACGACATCCGCAGTCTCTGCAACCTTATGGTGTCCAAGCTCATCGTGCTTGACCCCGATGAGACGGCTCGCCGCTTGGACACCATCGCGGAAGCCTACCGCGCGATCCTCTCGACCAAGCTCAAGGACGGTGCCGTCAAGCAAGATGTGGAGAAGCAGGAGGAGGCCAACAAGAGCGTCCTGCGTGTGACGCTCCTTCTCGGAGACAGGCTGAAGAACAAGGCGGGATCCGGTGGTCCGGTGGCGAATGCCAATGCCGGAGGCGGAAGTCAGGTCTGGAACGCTTACTGGGAGTGGGTCAACAAGGAGTTCGCCTCATCGCTGAGGAGCCTTCGTGAGGAGAGCAAGGAATCCCGCGCATAGGTCGTAAGCGGGCAAATTTTTCGCCGGTTTTGGCGTTTGTGTACATGGAATAACAGGAACTACAACAAGCATTGATCTGTGATTCGAACCTGTGTTCTTGAATGTGTCCCTGTGAGTCAGCATATTTGTGCTGTCAAGTCTCCACGTCTGAAGCGAGACACGCGGTGTGCATATAAGGACGAACACTTACCGAGCTGAACTTCAGAGCGTTATGTACCAGTCAATATTATGTAGCACGCAACCCAAGCGAGGCTGAGAAAAGGACAGATTCAGTGTCTCTCGTGGTGGCGTGTAAGTGCAGTTACCGTTGGGCGTCATGTAAGCCACTAGCTTGGCGGGGGGTCATGCTTAATCGTTATGCTGGGTCCGCTCGCGCCGATCATGGTGATGGTCATGGTTATGCTTCTCAAGGAAGGAAAGGTACATAAGACGGGTTGTTTTTCGCGCTGAACCTGAAATTTAGATTAGCAGTATCAATTCATCTTAGATTTCGTCGCCTTCTGTAAGATTTCGAAGAAGTCTCAGCTCAGTGAGGAATCTTGGTTTTATCACCAACTTCATCACTACTCTATTTCTATTTTTCCACAGCCACGATCAACAAAACAGCATCAAAAGAAGAAGAAAATGGCAACATCAAGAGCCTGGACCTTCACAGCCCGCGGCGCCCCCCGCTCCGTCCTCTCCCTGACCTCCCAACCCCTCCCAACCCTACCACCCTCCCGCGCCCAGCTCGCCAAGGCAAAACCCAACGACGGTGACGAGTGGCTCGCCATCAAAGTCGCCTACGCCGGCCTCAACCCCGGCGGGCACTTCTACCTCACCCTCATCCCCGCCGCCGCGAGGGCGAAGACCGCCGTGCCGGACATGGACCTGAGCGGCGTCGTGACCGACGTCTGGTCCGGGGGATCCTCCTCCGCGGCAGAACGACAACGGCGCTTCGTCAGAGGCGACCGCGTCGCCGCCTTAATACCCGTGGGATACGGCTTCCCGACCGGCACCGGGGCGCTCGCGGAGCACGTCGTGCTCCCCGCAAAGTACGCCGTCGCCGTGCCGCCTCAGGTGCCCCTGAGGGACGCGGGCTGCGTCCTGACGGCGGGCTGCACGGCGCTCACGACGGTTCGGGCCGCGGGGTTGAAGAAGGGCGATAGAGTGCTCGTGTACGGGGCCAGCGGGGGCGTCGGGACTCTGGCGGTGCAGATGGCGCGGGATGCCGTCGGGCCCCGGGGCACGGTGGTGGCCGTCTGCTCCGGGCGGAACGCGGAGATGGTCATGGGTCTCGGGGGCGTTGATGAGGTTGTCGATTACACCGCCGCCGGCGGCCGCGTCTCTGATTCTCTGAGGGAGAAGTTCGGGAAAGAGGGGAAGAAGTTCGACGCGGTGGTGGACTGCGCCGGGGTGCAGGACGTCTACGTCCACTGCGCGTCGTACCTGCGTCCCGGGGGCGTGTACGCGTCGGTGGGGATCAAGCCGGCGGCGAATACGTATGGGGGGTTCGCGCGGGCCGTGTGGACGATGCAGATGAATGCGCTCTGGCCCGTGAGTCCGTGGCTCGGGGGCACGGGGCGGAGGTGGAAGGGCACCACGATGATGGATCCCGGGAGGGGGTTGATGGAGGACGTGGTGGGCATGTTGGCGGATGGGAGGGTGAAGGTTTTCTCTGGGAAGGAGGTTGGGTTTGAGAGGGCTGTTGATGGGTATGAGGTTGTCGGGAGCGGGAGGGCGAGGGGGAAGGTTGTTGTCCGGGTTAACGGGGAGTGATGTGAGGGCATCTGGATTGGGTTGTGTGGATAGATGTATTTCTTTATATGTAGTGATTTGCGTCGAAAGAGGGTATCGCTTTGTTATTCAAGTTCCTCGGCATTATTATCATCATTGAATAGATATCTTTCGTTGTGTTCGACTCTGGGTTTACTCGCTCCCCTTTTCGAGACTTTAATTTCGTCTTGAGTTACCCTGTGATGCTGTCACCTTTTTATGATGACATACATGTTCGGGATTGTCTCGATGCCCTGTTTCCTTCTTCTCGATGTGACTTCTTTTGTCACAGCGAAGATCAGAAACAGACCGAGAAGAATGGGGGAAAGGGGGAGGGGGAGTCAAAAAGAAAGAAAGAAAAGAATGGCCCCGGGCAGATTTGAACCGCGCCGACCTTGGCTTTATGTCTTTTAAGAGAGCCACGCTCTTACCTAACTGAGCTACGGGCCCTGTCTACCTTATGATCAGAAATTGTTATGAAGGTAGCAACCAGACAGACTGGACGACTTGAGTCACAGTGCCCAGGCAAAAGCGCAAGGTTTGAGATGACGGTGTTTGTCATCTTGAGGGGGTTCACTTAGGGAGAAGAAGATTTGAGCTTCGTCGAGTCTCTTTTAAGATTCAATAAGTTGTCATTGAACCTAGATGCCCTTCACTAATGTGTTCCGCGTCAGCATGCAAGCATTTGGTCATGTCGGTAATCAAAAGCTACGACAACTGCCTTCGCATATGAAAGAGCAGCAGCGAGGACCTGGCAATTATCAGCATACGCTCTGTCTCCTATTCACCTCGGCCATGTCCAGTCTCTGACTCACCAAGATGTGCATGAGCTGGTGACTAGCCCCGAAAAGATCGAAGCTGCCAGGAAACCATACCTCGGGGAACTGAGCTTGTTAGCAGGACGCACTTCGCTTCATCAGTGCGGAACAGCAGAGACAAACTCACCTTGGTCGAATATATAAAGACCGCCAACGCGTTACACCCCGCCGTGACAGCAACCCATGGCCCGCCGACCCTCGCCCACTCCTCCACCAGCCCAAACACAAAAGCCCCATGAGCGATGGGCATCACGAACGCCATGACGCCGAAAGCAGCGAACAGCGCAGCGCGGTGGTGCCCGAGATGGACGGCGCCCAGGTCCGGTCTCGCGGTCGCCGCCGCGCACAGCACCGCCAGGGCTCCCGTCAGCAGCACGTAGGCGTCGCGGGTTCGAGGGGAGCAGGGGAAGGTGTAGTGCGCCAGAGGCGCGGTCGAGCTCCACATGAGGGCGAGGACGCCGTGGAAATCTGCTTTGATGCCGGCGAGGTAGTAGGCCTCGCTGTGGGACATGAAGGTGTGGAAGCTTTTGTCTCGGTCAGCGATGCTTGCTTTAATGGGTAGATGTTGGTAGGAATGCGTTGACATACGCCGTTGAGAGGACGAAGCATGTTGTCACGCCGAGGGCGTAGATGCCGCAGACGACCACGTCTGAGGTTGAGGCGATGGTCCACCTTGGCGGGATGCCATCGCTGAAGATGAGTAGGGGGAGTAGAGTGAAGACTACGGCGCCGATTATGTGCGAATATATGTTGACTGTGTTTTGTAAGCAAAGCCCTGCAACATCTCATCATGAGAACAGCTGGTGACTTCACTCACTTGTCTCGTTGTGAACATAAGTCCAACTATGGAAGCATCCCCACATTGAGAAGCATGCTTTACTACAAGACGTCAGCACCTTCTGATCTTCAATCACATCATACTTTGACTTACCGATAACCCGACTTAATGTGCTCGCTCCCACATCTGCTTCACAGTCAGCTCGTTCTCATCCAAGTGAAGGTATAGGCTCACTGTTGCCATTCCGCTACAGGCCATGTTAGCAACGAAAGCCCAACTAATCCGATGTCCGACAGAATACTCACGAAGCTCGTCCCATGTAAGCAAAGATATGGCCTTCTTGCCTTTCTCGGACGAGTCGTCTTGGCCTCCCCACCTCCATATCCGGCCCCCGGAGCCGGCCCCGCCCTCCACCGCCGTTCGTAACCTCCGCCGCAGAGCAGACGTCGAGAGAAGCGCCGCCATCGGATACCGACGGTTTAGGGCTCCCAGAGCTTTTCCACGGCTGAATATCTTACTATTATGAAAGATGTCCAATCTCGAATATCCCTTCTCACAGATCCCGCCAGGACAATCGGAGTCGCGCTTAACCCTCGATGTGTCGTCGGTTCCGTCTCCGAATCACCACCCGTTCTTTCGCGAACGGAGAACCGCAAATCAAATGCTGTGAAGCAGGGGTCTGACCTAAAAGTCATCCACAGAGTTCAAACGGTCTCAAAGCTTGCGAGGAGCTGCCATCCATGCCACGATCGCGCCAATCGAACAAATCATAGAAAGCGGTTTCCCAAGAAAATCAACCACGTGGAAAAGATGTATTTTTCGAGAGAGAAGAAGTTTCCCAAAAAACCGTTTTTGTTTCCCTCTTACCCGCCGCAGTCGCCGCCAAAAAGAACCCACCATCCCGAAACCCGCGCCGGAAGCGCGCCGATCCGGCGTGGTCCCGCACATCGTCGCATCTGACCACCGCTTAATGCGACGACGCTGATGCAGACCCATGATTAATGCGCATATAATGGGACCAGGCAGATCATTTTGGACTGACCAACCGATAGAAAGAAACAACTGTGGAAAATTCAAGGCTGATGGCGTTGAGGCCAGAAGGTGGTCACTGGGCAGTTGACGCGACGCAGGGACTGACCCTGGTCTCCATGAGACTTCTCATTCGACGATGTCGAAACATCGTGTTCTACACATAGGAGTGTTTGGCAATTTACGGTCGCGAAGCCGGTCAGTTTGAACAGTCGAAGGGACAGGAAACACCCTAATGAGTTCATGGACTTCGTCTAAATCAATGCTACCCGCTGATGTAAAAGGAGCCGTAAGAAAGACACTGTAGCTCGTTATAGAGATCGAATGACCAAGTTGTCTTCTTCCTGACTCAGCTTTCATGGCAACCGACTGAATGGATAACCATAAGCAGTCGACTCATGAAGCACTTACACTTGATTCCGATGCATTGGATGCAAGTCCCGTCTTCGGTTCTCGTCAGCCCTGCCCAGCACTTATTCGGCCGAATAAGACACCAACTGACCTGATCTTTGGAATGTGAGCAAGATGAACAGTCTGAGCTGGTCCTCTGGTCTGGAACCTAGCATGGAACCTAGCATATTTGATAAACATGAACTACCACGACGCACACCATGGCCTTGGAGCGAAACAAATCATTCAAGTCTGATCAACGCATTTAAATACCGTTCGAGGTCCCGGAAGGACTGCCTCGTCTTCCACCGCCCAGAAGTCATCAAACGAGGAGCCGTATTGGAATACAGAGACCTCCATTGGCTCACTAAGGTATGAATACCGAAAGATTTAGGTCTGTCACAACTAGCAAGAGACTTGAGAAGCGACGTTGATATCCAGCTCAGGGCAGGCGCACTACTGAAGTCTAACAGAAAGACTGAAAACAACCACACTGTCAGATCAAGCAGGCTCCGGAACGAGGGGGCTGATGGATGATGGCGGGTAGAGGGAATTAGATACAGTTTGCAACCCCCTGGAGCTTTTTTGGCAAGTCACTTGCCGCTCAATATTTAAATCCACCAAAAAACGCCAATGCAAACAGGAGAGCCAAGAGACTAGTTTGTCCATTGCCAATAGTTGGCTTCATCGCTAGGACAACATGCAAGCAGTGTCCGCGAGGTCCTTATGGGGAACTGTGTTCCTGCTTTAACATGCTACCTCTTTCATTCTTCTTTTTCTTCCCGCATCTATTCATCACTAGAATGAACCGATAAGTACAAGAATTATGAGGCTAATACTGCCGATCTCAATCCAGATGATGAACGTCAATCCACCCGAGAAGAAAATTACAATAGTATTTGAGACCATATTCCATCTGCAGGCATGACACAATACCTCGTCCTTGGCTATCCTCGACGTCCGACACTTATCCAGCCGCATAAACAACCAAACAGAAAAAGGATACATGTGAGGTAGATTCGTGCCGCTTTGAATAAGTAACCCAAGGCCTCGGAGACTCGGCACGGTAAACTTTCTCAATCGAAACGCCCGGTCTCCAGAAACCTTTCTCTCGCTCGAAGCGCATCATCTCCAAAGAACTCATACACAACATCCTGCCGTCGGATTTATGTAAAGACATTAACGGACATCGAGGCTTTTACGAGCACAAAAAGTCTGCGATATATAAACCCACGTAGCAGGCATCGTGGAGGCCAATTTCGGAGTAGTCTGATTGCTGGATAATAGTCCTCCAGAATAAGGAATCGAGGCGGGAACATCGTGGATCTGGTCGACAATGTGCAGCCATCACCGATATGTCGAGGGAGCATCTCTCTCCTCACGGCGCAGTCTCAGTCCCTCTTCTCCCCGATATTATACACGTCTAGAATAAACCGAGGGGCGCGAGCAAGAACGTGGTGCTGTTGCCGCCGACTGCAATTCACCGACGATATTGGCCGACGTCAAGATATCCGAGGGGAAAATTGATGTCATCTCGCACCACAAGTCAACATCACGGATATAGTTACATTCCTAGGTTCTGCTTCATCCACGGACACCCCTATATATCTTTTTGTAAAATGCCAAACACCCTGATGCAACTCGCACTGAATAATGCGGGTTCATACTCTTCCTATCCGCTAGAAACAGACACATCGCAGTGCGAGTTTGCTTGTGATGGATTCTCGATTCGATCGTATTCTCATTCCGATTTATAGCAAGCTTTCCTCTGATTGCGAAACGACAGAGCAGCCCTGAGCGCCATCCTTGAACACGGGTGAAGAGAAAAGACCCGTTCTCCTCAATCTGCAGAACACAGTCGACCCTGAACAGAACGTGTCGGTAGCGAGAGAACGGACAATGCCGCAATTCAAGAAAGTCTCCATCGTCGTCGTCCACTTACTATTGGACTACGAATACACGGGGACGTCTGCTAGGGAGTACTCTACACTTTCTTCGTTCAAGACTGGAGACGATTAACGTGCTGCAGGATGAAGTTAGTGTAAGAGACAGAGAAAACCATTGTACTCGAAGCGTAGGAATACAAAGACCGGCGGCGAGAATAGGCCCCGCCCTTCCACAAGTCGGAGACGGCAGTGTGCCGGGCATCATTGAAGCCCGGCCCATGCCCAGAGAGTAAGCTCATGTTGAGGCTGAAACGTGATGAGCAGACACACGCAGACGCCAACTCGTTCGTAGTCTCGTGTGGCCCATATCATTTTGCGGTTCTCACTCGTCATCATCTTCAAAATTTGCAGTCTTTGACGCCCTTCTGCCCAACGCAGAATACCACGTGCTCGACAACTCGCCGAGTAGACGTACGGCTACCGTAGCCGTTTCAACCGCCGATCACCAGGCTGACGACGACGACGACGCCTTCCTCTAAAAACCGACCGAGTTCATGTCTCAGAAGGCAGCACATGGCGCCCTTGACCCGAAACGACATGAGAGAGAGGAAAGTACACCATGTGATGCGCCTGGCACAACTGGATATAGCCAGTTGAACGAAAACGTCCGAGGACAATGACAGAAGGCCAGCGCCGCCGTTGAGATCCCATCGCAGTGGTACCCGTCTGCTTCCGGGTGCGCCTCTGAAACGCGTCCAATGTCTCGATATAGCGCCTCTGTATGTCTTGGCAAGCCTCTCTTGTAAGAGGCTCCCATGTTGAGCCTGAATCTTCAACGGTTGCAGATACGTGAAACCGAAATCCTGAAAAGCCACAGGCATCAGCCAACTCTTAGAAGCGCTGGGCAATCGTCACTTGACAGATTGGAGTTTCAACAGATGCGTGGCTTGACGTCTTTTCAAAGGTCAACATCGTTGAGAAGGCCGGTGTTTGTTCATGCAGTGATCGCAAGATGCTGCCAGGCTTCTGGAAAATTACTGTTCGTCGTCTTGACGTCCCGTCAGAGACAACAACCTCCGACCTCCGGGATGAGAACACTGAAGGGATAACGTCACCCGTTTACACGAGTGAGCGGAGCGGCCGCCCTCCCGCCGCCATCGCCATCCGGCCCGGATGCGTGTCCGGACAAAGAACCTCTCTTATCAAGTCCACATCACCAATAAGGCTGACCGGCTCAAAGAACTCTTCAACACTCGGAAGCTGCCCCCGGGTCAGGTCGCGCGCGCACTGGCCAAGTCCCCGATCCAAAGGCGGCCGCCGTCCGCCTCTCGATCTCAGGACGAACGGTTCGGCGGGTCCCGTTCCCAGGCCCGGACTGAGCCCGTGGATTTCGTGGATGCTCGCAAGCCCCGAAGTCGCCCGCCTGACTCGTCATCGGGCCGGGCCTGTCGTGCGAGCGACTCAAGCTGCCGGATGCAGAGGAGCCGAGGGAATGCCAACTCCGGGTTTCTGGGATTTTGATTAATGACGAGAGAGGGTTGCTTAGATGCAAGGTTTGTTGCTTGATGGACCATGCGCAGAGGTTGCCTGTGGAGCTTGAGGAAGGCAGTTGACTCGCCCAGACGAAGGACTGCAACCTCAAACCTCGCGATCAACCTCCGGTTGGGGGTGGAGATGTCACTGTCCACCCGCAAAAATGACCCCAAGACCCTCTCTCGCGGGAGGATCAATTTCAGGCACGAGGCGAGGGGTGGACTGCGTAACGTAACCTCGCCGATCCATTCCTCCGTAGCTGAAGCTCTAGATTTCTGCCGTGTCATACTTTGGTCGACATTCCTGAGCTCACAGGAGACACAACCCGAATGGCTGGGATGGCGTGCCGTCGACGTTCCTTGATGATGTGCAACCGTCCCCAGCTGGTGTCTCAGTCAGGTCAACTAGTGCGACCAGCTGCTGTGGAATCATCGAAGGGCGAAATCCCCGTTTGGGATATTTCCGTCACTTGGAAACTCGACTTCCGGGCAACGAACGGCTCGTATGATGAGAAAGAGGCGAAAAGAGGCGAGCGCCCACAGTTTGTCCATGCTCTGGCCAAGGTCGCGAGTCAAGACCCCCGTCTCTCCACGATTGGAAGAAATACGATGCCCCCAATGCTACCGT